TCTCGCCACAAAAACTCAAAATCTACTGTAATTGCCCAAATTTTGACCTAAATGATATGAAAATGGTACCGTTCGAATCAGCGCGTCAAGACGGTTCAAATGAGCAATCACATGCTCAGGGTCCGAAGGTTTTTTTCTCACATGCGTCTTTAAGGTGCCAGACAAGCCCAAAAATAAGATTTACCGATCCGTGATATTATGCCGATCAGTGGTAAAGCAAGTTCTGGCCGAAGATCCGACAACTTGACGGTCCCGATATCTCACCACGAAAACTACCGTATAAATTTAATTGCTACCGTAAGATTTATCGATTTTCAGCGATTTTTCTAGCTCTTCCTCAGAAAAAAAATGAATATTTGTTGAAAATCGATTTTTTTTCGAGTTTTCTTACGGTAGCAGTTAAATTTATACGGTAGTAGTCGTGGTGAGATATCGGGGCCGTCAAGTTGTCGGATCCTCGGCCAGCACTTGCTTTTACACTGATAGAGTATCGTTATATTCGCAGTAGAGCACGTTTGCTTGGAATGGACACTCTATGCGGTAGATCAAAATATTCCAGAGCCCAAATTGTTTAAGCCTGCGTCTGACATATGCAAAAACCCTTAAAGGGGGCCTAGGTGGGGCCTAAGGGGGCCTAGGGTAAAAAACACTTTTTGTCGTTTTGGAGCAAAAAACCTTAGTAGCTCTGGAGCCCATATACGCCTGATCTTTCATCTCTCTTTGGAAATTCCAGAAAAAAAAACCAAAAAATCCAGTAATCCCCCATTAACACACAAAATGTATAGTCGGGGCCTAATCCTAATTGAATCCATAACTTTGGAAAAAAAATGAAAATGAATTGGTGGTGAAAATGAATTGGTGAAAATAATGTCAAAAGGATTGGGGGATTAAGACACAAATGCCATGAACATGCGAGCCCCAAAATTTTAGGGGCGGAGCCTCCGAGAGGGTCTAGACATGTGCATTGGGCCGGGCTGGGCCGGGCCTGGACAATTAAAATTCTCATGAAGCGTGCAAAAAATGAGCAATAATGAGCCGGATGAGCATTGACTAGACACTAGGGGATAAGAGGGGTTAGAGTACACATACGGTTAAGAAGGAATGCGGCGAAAAAAAGAAAAATAGCTTAGGCATATCTCATATATATATGAGGTGCATAATAGAGTATATATGAGAAAGGGACGCGGATGAAAAAAAAAGGAAAAAAGGAGAAAAAGAAGAAGAAACATGTGAAAGTGACAAGGAATGCATCATGGAAAGGGGGGGGGGTGGGACAGGAAATTATATTCCTGTGCTCTCTTTTCTCTTTTTTGCATGAGATATATTGGAGGGGATTAGTGGTTTGATCGGTCAGTTTGGAGAAGTTTTGGAATCTGAGCAAGCTACACATTCTAGAAGATTCTGGAAGGTGCGGACAATGAGTCAGAATAGTCAAAGATCAAAATAGCTATTGAACACGAATTGGGGAGGCTCAGAGAAGCTGCGCTGCTCAGGAGATGCTTAGAGAAGCTGCTCGGGAGGTGCTTAGAGAAGCTGCTCGATATAGACTTGTTGATTGCTTAGAGCTGCCCCCAGACTTTTATTGGAGCTGCTCCGGAGAGGCATACATGTTTTTTTCGGTGCTCCTCCATTTTTATTGGAGCACAGCCAGACAAATTAATTTTCGTTATTGTTCGATATATGAATTTTAATTATTCTTCCAAAATGAAACTGGAAAATGAGAAAATGAGTCATCCCCACCAAATTTGCTCCACTAGGTATCAACAATAAGGCTTCAGATGATATTTGAGGCGTCTAGTGCGGCTCCAAGAACCAAAACCAAAAAGAAAAAAAGATTTAGCCCCAGTGGGGTTCGAACCCGCGTTGAAAAATTCCTGAACAGCAGCGCTAACCGCTAGGCTACTTGTGTACCACGCAATGCCGGGCCAGAGAAGGCGCCGTGTGGCGCAGTCGTATGGCGCAGCCGGTAACGCACGCGGCCCCCAATCTGCGGGGGTAAGTTCGATCCCACTGAAGGCATTTTTTTTGTTTCTTTTTCTGACAGCATACACCACATCTTGCGACAAATTGCGTATTTCAGCTGCAAAAACCAAATTCGAAATGAGAAAAAGAAAAAAAAAATTGACCCCTCTGGGGTTCGAACCCGGGTTGGAAAATTCCTGAACAGCAGCGCTAACCGCTAGGTTACGGGTGCATCACGCAATGCCGCGGGAAAGAAGGCGCCGTGTGGCGCAGCCGTATGGCGCAACCGGTAACGCGCGCGGCCACCAAACTGCGGGGTGTAAGTTCGACCCCACTGGTGAAAATTTTTTTTGTTTTTTTTTCACTATATCTTACGACAAATTGCACTAATTCTAGCACCACAAAAATGTCTAGTTTGGTCAATTTTCAGCCCAAAAAGTACAAGGTTCTCACCACCTCACCACCTGCGTCATCACCAATGTGCACATAAATTTTTGCAACCTTTTTTGCATCAACGAATTCAGAATTTTTCATCCAAAATTCAAAAATAGAAGAGATTAACCACTCCAAAAAATATCAAAAAGTCATACATGATTCTTTTGCAAAAATATGAAAAAATGAAAATGAAAAAGAGAAAGAAGACGGGAAATTGAATTGGGGATTAGTTATATCTATAAGGATTAACTGATCAGTCATATGGAATCAAAAATAAAATGAGATAGAGAGACATGTGAATTGGGGCTCCTGAGCGGAAATTGGAAGAGCTGGATGTTGCAAAAAATTGGTTTCTGGAAATTCTGAAAAAAATTTTTTTGGGGGGAGATCGAGAATTTTCTTCAAAATCGGTACTACGGGCTCAAAAATATACATGAAAATGTAGATCTCGGTGAGCTCTACAAGTCTGAAAACTCTCAATCACCTTTCGGCGATCATGGTCTGCACAGGACCGGCTAGAGTGAAAAATGGGGGGCCCAGATTTGGGTCCCGCTACAAAAATCTAATTTTAGCACCATAACTTGGCTAGTTTTGGTCCGAATTTTGTGAAATTGGTACCAATCGAATGAGAAAGTCAAGGCGGTTTAGGAAATTACCCATTTTTGGAATTTCCAATTTTTGGGTCCCGCCACGAAAATCTAGTTTTAGCACCAAAACTTGGCTAGTTTTTGTCCAAATTTGGTGGAACTGGTACCAATCGAATCGGCAGGTCATGGCGGTTCAGAAAAGTACACATTTTCAGAATTTCCGATTATTGGGTCCCGCCACGAAAACCTAATTTTGGCACCATAACTTGGCTAGTTTTGATCCAAATTTTGTGCAACTGGTACCAATCGAACCAGGGAATCAAGGCTGTTCAGGAAAGTACCCACAAAACCAGATTTCTGAGATTTTCGTTTATTGGGTCTTGCCACGAAAACCCAAATTTTTGGACCCGAACATTTTAGCTGGTCCAGTGCAGCTCAGTTCGTCCGATTTGTCAATTTTTGGGTAAAAAATGGGGATTAGAAGACTCATCTTGGCACATTTGGGCGTTTCTTCCGGTGTCTGAAATTCAAAATGAACTGGTTGGCCTAACTTTTTCGCAATTGGGTTTTCTATGCCATGGTCAGGCTCAGCTTGTTCCAAATCACTTCCCGAATATTTTCCAATTTTCAGAACTCAAAAATCTAGATTTTGAGCCGAGTTATGCTCAATTTTGTGGAATTGCTCAGAATAAAGTTTTTCAGTATTTTGACTGTAAATGGGTGCAAAATGAAGATATCGACTCCGGTTTTAAATTAACTTTTAGGAAATTTTAAGACGCACCATCTAAAATAGTTCTATTCCATAGGACACCCAAGACATATCAATAACCACCTAGCCACCGTGGCGCTTCTTCTTTCGTTCCCCTCTCAGACATCTCTAAACACATAGACATCCCTTCCCTCCCTTCGCCATTAAAAGTAGTGATCAGAGAGCGAATTAACCATTTTTCCCTTCCAACAGAAAAAAGAGACAAACGTGTTCTAATCACCATCTCTCTCTCGGGGAGGAAAAATAGTGTGAAGATCGGCGGAGGGTGGGCGAGAGAAATGTCCAACCAACGCCCAAAATGAATGAATCTGTTCGTTGTTGGTTTCCGGTGGAGAAATGGAAAAAGGGATTAGGAGGCCGAAGGAGGAGAGGTTTTGACGTAGAAAAAGGGCAAATTAGGTTGGAATTTGCTGGGGGCAAAACACCTTGAAAATGGTAGAACTACTTGTAAAGCTCCATATCTCCATTACCAGCAAAGCTACTGAAAAGTTGTCAACTAAAAATATATGCAAAATTTTATGACAAACATTTTCTTAGTTGATCATTTTCTGCTATCTTCACTTCCAGCAGAGATATACGCGTTGGAAATAAAAAAGTGTGCAAAACACCTTAAGACCTCTAGTTCAAAGCTCTATATCTCCATTGCCAGAAGAGCTACAAAAAAGTTATTAACTACGAAATTATGCAAAATTTTAAGACAAACATTTTGTTAGTTGACCATTTTTTGATAACTCCACTTCTAGCAAAGTTATACGTGTTGGGAGTTAAGACGATGTAGACGATGCAGACGCAGGGTAGGTAGAGCAGACGCAGGGTAGGTATTGTATCTGCCCCTTCATGCTGAAAATTTCAGATTTTTCAACTCAACGCCTAATGAAAAATCTGAAACATGACTCATTTTCCATCTAATAAAACGTATTTTCCCATTGAAGAACATTTTGTTATTGCGATCATCATCAACCTTAATCAACGTCATCATCGATTGAAGGAAAAAAAAGTGATCATTGAAAGATAGAGTTAATAAAGATGATAAATACTTTGTCTGACTTGGGACTTACAAGAGAAGGGAGTGCATTCACTAAATATAGATTTAAAAAAAATCATTTAAAAATAGAAGTGATACTCGGGGAATGAAAAAAAAGTCAAAAATCAGAAGTCAAAGAACCACTGGAGCGTCTCACCCAGCTCGACGGGATGTCTGAAAAATTGCAGTGAGATATACGCCCTCTTCTTGTCTACGGGCTGTTGCACCCATGGCTCAGATGGTTACAGTGCAGTTTTGAAAATTTTCAACGCGGGTTCGAACCCCACTGGGGCTAAATCTTTTTTTCTTTTTGTTATGAACTTGGAATTGGAGTTGCGATGCTGGAAAGACCGAAATTTACCAAACTAGAAATTTTTGTGATGCAAGAAATACGCAGTTTATCGTAAGATGTAGTGTATGCTGTCAGGAAAAAAAAACAAAAAAAATTACCTTCAATGGGGTCGAACTTACCCCCCGCGGTTTGGGAGCCGCGTGCTTTACCGGCTGCGCCACACGGCTGCGCCAGGAAACGCCTCCTTTCCCCCGCGGGGGGATTGCGCGTTGTAGCCTAGTGGTTAGCGCTGCTGTTTTAGAAATATGCATCGCGGGTTCGAACCCCACTGGGGTCAATTATTTTTTTCTTTTTGTTATAATCCTGGATGTGGAGCTGCGATGCTCCTAGGGCTGCTTGGAAGGGTCCTGGGGCTGCTGGGCATCCCAGATCCCTCTTGACCCCTTTCTCTTGTCCTTTCCTCTCTCCCTTTTGTTATTCTGATCACCAGAACTGATCACTCATGATCGGGGGGCCCCACCCCGAACATATCAATTTCCTTTCCCTATTTTTACCCTGAAACATATGACAACCCCACCCACTCTGTTCCTTTCCCTTCTCGTTATCAATTCTCCAAATTCCTTGAAAACCTAATCCTCCCGGCGATCAGCGATCATTTTCAAAAAAAAAATACTGTAAAAATTTTTGTCGTCGAACACGGGAGGGCATACTGTAGACAGGCGAAAAGGGTGTGGTTGATTGGGGGAAGTTATCACAATTCATTTATCATAATGGAAGGGGAATCAGATGAGATGGAGGAGGAGGAAGAGAACGGGAAGAAGAAGAACATGGGCGTTGGCCCCCAGTGTTGACCTAGACTACGGTCTTGAGATTATATGTTGTTGTAGGACTGTTTTTTGGTTCAAAGTACTCAGTTACGGTAGTTTAGGCACACCGTATGTTGTGAGCAGCATATCTGGGTTGTCTTTAGAACTACCAAAAAATTTTCAACTGGTAAAGTATTCAAAATTAGTTGCTTAACATTTCTTTAGTTGACCACTTTTTGATAGCTCTAACGGCAACAGAGATATGCTGCTCTGAACATGCAGTACTACATAGACCATGCAGTATTTAGGGCCCCATGTTCAAAGCGGTATATCTCAGTTGTCTTAAGAGCTATCAAAAAATTTTCAACTAGTGAAATGTTCAAAATTATTTGCTAAACATTTCTCTAGTTGACCACTTTTTGATAGCTTCAAAGACAACCGAGTTATACTGCTCCAAACCTACAGGGCGCTAAAAAAGCCATGGGGAACATATGGGCGTCACCTTATATTTTTTTTGATCTCTTCGTCGCCGGTGCTAAATGATATTAATTGATCAGATCAGATCATTAGATTAGCAGATCATGATGATGTCATAGTGGGCCCATGTTCCTTAGGTGTCTAAAATTCTGAAAATCTTCCGTAAATTTTGAATTTTTGAAGTTGTGGCACTAAAAATGATTTGAAATTGACTAAAAATGGTCAGGAATCGCCGGAAAATGGTCAGGAATCGCCTGAAAATGATCTTATAATGTCCCGTGAGATCGGGACTGTTGAAAACAATTTCAAAAATTCCGAAAAAAAAATTTTTTTCGGGTATTTCTTGGTCTTTTCTCCAAAAATCATCGGAAAAAATATGAAAAAAAAGCGATTTTTACTGAAAAAATCCGCTCGTGTAGTCAGCGTTCCCGGCTAAATCCCGGCTTATTTCCGGCTTATTCCCGGCCTATTCCCGGCTTATTTCCGGTCTGTTTTTGATGTTTTTCTGATGATTTCCGTCAAATTACCTTCAGAAAAAATCATCAAAACCTAATTTTGCTGAAGAAAAAAATCGGAAAAAATCGACTTTTTTGGTTTTTCAGACCAAAATTCGATTTTTTTTTCGAATTTTTTCGCATAGTCCAGATCCCAACCATCTAGCTTCTCTTCCCCTCCTCCTCCACCATAAAAAATCCACTCCATAATAAATCTCCCACTGTCTTATCCATCAATTTATCACCCCTTCTCTCCTCCTCTTCCCTTCTTCTTTTCCCCAGTTCTTCTCCTTTTTCCTTCAGATTAACGGTAATCAACTGAGTGGTGGTGGATACTAAATCATTGTGTTCTGTTGCTGTTGCTGCTGTTGATCCAATTTTTCTTTTTTTTTGTTGAGTTTCTAGGGAAGAAAAAAGGGCTAAAACAGGTATAAAACCACTGTGATTGGTCAGCTACACCCCGTTGGTTTTACTTGTTTTACTGCTTTTTGGGTTTCGGGGAGGTTTTTGATCAGTGATTTTTGGGAGGTTAGGACCGACCTACAAGGGTCTGTCCGGACTGAAAAAAATCTTGGATTCGGTCTGGGCCGACAAAAAAAAAGTCCGGAAAAAGTGGGCTCAGGAAAAGGAATTTCGATTTTTTCCCGAAAAATCGTTTTTGGAAAATCAGAATTTAGCTGCTAAGCAGAAATGAAATTGACGATTCCGACTCAAAAAGTTTTGAAAATTATATTGAATTTCAATTTGTTTATATACAATTTCCAGCTCGAATTGCATTGAAAAATTGCGTATCAATAGTAGGGCGTCGATGAAAAATTTTGTCATTTTTCGAATTTTTTTCGACCTTCCTGTTATTTTTCGCGATATATTCTCCGATTAGAGTATTTTCCTGACTCGAATTTTTTCCAAGATATTTTTTTGCTAAAAAATGTCGAGATAACCGGAAAAGCCAAATTACAATTTTTTCCAACATTTCCGTTTTTTTTCCGGAAAACTTTTTGATCGGAATGTTTTCCGGAAAACAGCTTTGGAACATGTTCCCTGCTGCAATTTTTTCCGAAGTATAATTTCGGAACACTTTCTATCTGAAAACCGGAAAATCGGAAGTTTAGTTTTCCGATGCCAAACAAGCCTGTTTAAGACCTTCTCACTCGGGTCTCACCGGGCTTGAAAACCGGGCGGGAAAAATTTTTCGGAAAATAAAAATTCAGAAAAAAAAATTTCCGGATCATTAATCGAAATTATTTTTTTCCAACTGCAGGCCTGAGTTGGATTGAGAAAATCTGAAAAATCACATTCTATCAATTCGATTTAATATTTCCCTATTTTCCGAATTATTTTCTGCATTTACCGTTTGTTTGGGAAAATTTTCCGTTTTCTGCATTTCAGCAAGCCTGGCAAGGCCCGTCTTATTCGGGATCTGACCATTGTGTTCGTACCGATCCATTGGTTTGGACGCTCAAAAAAACCTCGGAAAAAATGTGTTCCGAAATTTTTTTTGCAAAAAATTGACCCATTGGTTAGAGCTGCCTAGACCCGAATTCTCATAGTTGTGACGGGCCGGGCTTCTCTCAGAATTTTCCAAGCCCGGCCTGGTAAACCCGACAAAAAATTGGGAAAAACGCAAAAAAAAAATGATCCGAGCTCATCGGGCCGGGTCGCGCTTCGAAAATTTCCTCCAAGCCCGGCTCGGGCGCCCTGACTATTCCGAGCCTGGCCTCAAAATCACAACTATGCAAATTCCCATTACTGCCAGCTTCAAAACCACATCCCAGACCCATTGCACTTACCCCCAAGTACACCCCTCCGATTTCTGACCACCCTACCCTCCTCTTCCCGCTGTTCTTCATTTAATTCCGAGAAAAAGAACAACGAGAAAGCAAGCAAACCCCTCAAAAAAACCACGAAACAAATAGACGACTGCCTGTTTGTCATGCTCTTCTTCTTATCACTTCTTACTCCTCCCCTGTGTTAGAGAACTCAGCACATTCCGATACAGGGATAGTTTCGCAATTTTCTTGTTGGAAAATTAATGCAAGCAATAGATAATAAACCGTTTTTTGATTGCTATTGGTTGGTTTTCTTGGAAATAGTATGACCGGTTATTCTTATCAGTTGAAAGTGATGTTGATGGAATTTCATATTTCAAAAAAATCTTTTGCTCATTTTAAAATGAAGTTCATAAACTGAGCTATTTCAAAATGGTTTTAATAAGAGGAAGTAGGAGAGGAAGTGTGAGGTAGTATATATAGGGAAAGAAAACAATTTAGAATAATTTTTACTGTATTTTTAGCGGCTTACTTTTTTCAAAATAGATATTTCGGGCTCACGAAAACACCGAAATGTAGATGTTTGCCAGGGCCGTGCAAAAAAGTTTTTCGTAAACTTTTTTTTTTCAAAAAATGTTTGAAATTTTATTTTTTTTTCTAATTTTCCAGAAAATCGATTGAAATGGAGTCGAAAGATTCGAACATTTCGAACCTAATTTTCAGCAGTTTTCTGAAAAAAAAACCTTTTTCTTCATGATTTTGCTCGGTTTTTGTCATGATTTTTTCGACAAAAAAACTGAAAAAAATCGAAAAAAATTTTTTTTGCTCTGTTCGACCAACATGGGCGGCCCGGAATTCACTAGGGTCGTGCGAAAAATTTTTCGTTCAAAAAATGTTTTTTTCGGTCATTTTCCTTAAAACTTTACTATACTTCGAAGTATTTATTAGCCCCCAATTTCATTTTTGAAGAAGATTATCGCAGGGCCCGCGCAAGGCCAGGTAGGATCCCATTATTAGGTTCCTAGGGTTACATCAATTTTTTGCAATGAATTTTCGAAAAAAGATAAAATTTTTCAGTGCCAGGAAAACTGAGCCGTACCCTGTCGGGCTCAATTTGGACAAGTATGGCTGACACCAAGTTTCTGACACTAGGTTCTAGAGATATTTTTTCCTCTATTTTTTCTTTTACCAGTGCTCTTCGGATGTAGTTATTTTGAGCACAAACGGTCTAAAGAGCGGCGAAGGCTCTTGAAAAAAAGACGAATAATTTTTAGTTATCACTGTTTCTCTTAGACCGTCTGATCTTTTGTTTCATTGGTCTAGACTACAGTATACCTTAGATTTAGCTCCCCCCTCCACTTTCGAGCCAAAACCCAAATAGCTTTAACCCAAAAAAATTATCACCAAAATTTCCGTCTCTCCTGGAATCTGAAAGTCATGTTCCTGGCACAAGCTGTCACACACACCAAACACTTTTAGGACACACCTCTCCCTCTCCTCCCTTAACAAACTGATTGCTGCCTGCTGCTGGAGTCGTAAAAATTTTCTAGCGCCCGCAAAAGAAGAAGACTATTAAAACCACTCTCTTCTCGCTTTTTATCTACATATGAGAGATAACGGTGTAATCGGTTTTGAACTTCCCTCACATTGGAATTTCGGGGGTGATGATTGTGGTCATGGGTGGGGAAGAGAGGGGGAGGAGGAGGAAGAATCAAAAAATGAAAGGAGAAGAGCATTTTGTAATGTTTTTGGAGCTCAAATTCGCGGAATTTTTTTCAAATTCCCAAAAAA